AATCGCGTTGCGATTCTGGGAACTGATTTGCGATTCTAGAGATCGCGTTGCGATTTTTATTTCGCATTGCGATTTTGTTGGTCATTTTGGTAAATCCAAAAAAAGTTGGTTAAAATCGTATATTATAAGACATTTTTGGTCACTGGGGTTATTTTCTCTTTGATTAAATGATTAAATTTATTTTAATTTATTAAAACTAATACTAAATTGAGAGAATATATAAATATCATATATCAAAGTGTGATTATACCAAAATATTTAAAGACCACGTAACCTAATTTATTAATAATTAACAAAAGTTAACTTGTGTTGACTAATTCTTAATTAAATAAAAACTAAAATAATCATATATTATGTTTTTTTAAATTAATTAAAAGTAAATAAAATATAAATATAAATAATCAATCTTGTAGTCAATCCTACAATTAGTTTATTAAAAATTAAAATTGAATTTATAAATTTGTTAATTGACTTCAACTATATTTTAAATGTGGAATTTATAAATTTGTTAATTGACTTCAACTATATTTTAAATGTGTCGTGAACTTCAACTTTAATGTTTTAATTATAATTTTAAACTCTATAATATTATCTATTTAAGTATGAATCAAAACATCATAATGATTAATAGACTTATTATTTTCAAAATTTTTGAGTTTTACGGAAAAATGTATGGGCGTTCTTTATCAATTGATTGATAATTTTTGAAACATATATTAACTTATATTTACATATATTTATAAAAAAATTAATAAATTTAATGGAAGTCAATTCACAATGTTATAGTTTGCAATTTGATTTTTTTTATATTAATTTTAAATAAATATAAGTTAACATATGTCGAGGGACAATTCTCAGTCATTTAACATTAAATGATTACATATCTAATATTTACTAATATTCAATTTTTAAATATAAACACAACAACAACAAAACTCTATTCTCATATGCAATAGGGTAAGGGGAGGTAGGATAGTAGACTGTCCCCAACGTCAGGTTGAGAGCAGCTTCTGTGGAAGACCTCCGACAGTCAGAAAATTAAAAATAAAGATAAAATATAATGCATGTATAAATAAATAAATAATAGTTGAATAGTCTTCATATGCACGTCTGAATGGGAAGTAATCCCTACAAATAAATCATTGCGTAAAAATATCTGCATATAAATAGAAATGTAAAACTCGACTAAATTTAAATATAACAATAATTTTTTTATTATTAAAATAAGATGATTTGATTTAAAATTTATTTTATTTTATTTTTTGTTTTTACTTTTGTAGTCACACACACCGGAGTCGCTCTCACAGCATGCGAAGTCACTAAAAATGAAGGGAAGAAAAAGGCACCGAATTTTCTTGGGTTCCATCTCTCTCTGTCTCCTTCAAAAGTAATAAACCACTGTAGCTCCATAGAGCTATCGAGAGAGATACCGAGTTAGTAAGTGAGAGAGGGAGGCTTCTTCTTCTTCCCTTTGAAAAGCAGCACAAAAATGCCACCTAACGCCCATCGAAACCATGCCCCTGAAAGGCGTTCATCCACCGCCAACGGCGACCACCGCAACTCCATCACCGCCCCACCTCTCCAACGCGACTACACTTACTACCCTCACCGTTCTTCCTCACCTCCGCCTCTTTCAAAGGTTGTTGTTGCTGCATCTTCCTTCTCTTTTCCTTCTTAGCCCTTCTAGTGCTCGCCGTCGTCCTCGTAATCGTCCTCGCCGTTAAACCCAAGAAGCCCCAGTTCGATCTCCAACAAGTAGTTGTTCAATACATGGGCATTTCCACGTCCAATACTTCCTCCTTCGACGGCACCGCCACCGCCACCGCCGTCTCGACCACCCCGACTACCGCCTCTTTGTCTCTGACCATCCGCATGATTTTCACGGCGGTGAATCCCAATAAAGTAGGGATCAAGTACGGGGAATCCCGGTTCACCGTCACGTACCGCGGGATTCCTTTGGGGAAAGCTTCTGTCCCCGGGTTTTACCAAGAAGCTCACAGCGCCAAAACCGTGGATGCAACCATCGCCGTCGATCGAGCTAACTTGATGCAAGCCGATGCAGCTGATTTGATCAGAGATGCTTCGCTTAACGACCGTGTCGAGCTCCGGGTTTTGGGTGATGTTGGCGCCAAGATCCGTGTGATGGACTTCGATTCCCCCGGCGTTCAGGTCACGTCTTCGACTTCTCTTCTTTTCGAAACAATTTAACCCCACTTCTAATTACAGCATTGTCCTCCGTTAAGTTTAGAATTACATTTTAAACCTGTTTGAAAGCACCGCAAGAGGTGGTGCTCGGTCAATCGGTGGGCAGTGGCTGGCTTATAGCCACCGCCATCCCCACCACCGCGCTCGGTCAATCGGTCTAATTATTCGATATATTTCTTAAAATTAAACAAATCAATCCTTTGGTTTCTGGGATTTATTTATTTTTCATTTCGGATTTAGGATTATTCTTTTTTGGAATTTTTAAATTGTAGGAGCATGATGGTGTTGTTGCTGTAGTAGTGGCATAAAACTGAATAAAATATATATAATAAATGTGGTTTAATTTTAAGGGCAAAGTACATCAGGTATTAGCGAATTATATTCAAGTCTTCATTTTGTTCATTGAACTTTTAAAAATTATAAAATGTTCATTAGATTTATCAACGTTTTACACTTATGTAAAGTTGCAATGATCGTTTAGTAACAATTTGATAAATTTAATAACTATTATGTAGCTTTTAAAATTTTAGTGACCAAAACGATCATTTGATTATAATTCGGTGGGCTATAATGTGCTTTACCCTTTAGTTATTTAATGGGGTTAGAGATGAGAAAGGCATTTTTGTTTTGTCGCTGGTTTCAAGCCATGTGATTTTGGGTAAATGGTGGGCTATCACTTGGACCCACTTTACTCCCTTCTCTGCAACCGTGGGATCCACCGCCCGTGAATTTATTTTATTGTGTGATCCACAAGTTTTTTTTTTTTTAACTTTTAACCCTGGGTTTCTCTTCCAAATTTCACTAGGGCTCGAAAATCTCGTCTTATCATATCTATGGTAGTCGAGATTAAGTTATATATCTAGTGATAAGCCTTGTGGATGGAAAACGATATCGAGTGAATTTCTCCCCAAATCGGGGTTTAACCCGACTTGAGTCGGGCGTAATCAATCCCCTTATGGATACCTGAAATCGGGTCTTAAACCGAATTATATCATTCTATTCATGTTTGAATATGCGCTCGAAGATCTCGGGTAACATAAGTATGCATTATGGAACCTTCTTGGAATCTCACATGACGTTGCTTAGCCACGATGCAGGTGTTTTTTCTACCTCACGTATGGTATAGGGACCCATGTTCATGGACCTCAAATCTATACTCCGATAATTGCCATGTGATCTCTCCACATGCACTCCGGTGGGGAAGCATAGCATCATGTTCATGACAAAATCTTTGGACGTTCAATCGTTTTTTGTCGGATTACTACATTGATGATGATATATGCGTCGTGATCTTCATTATGCTGAATTAATCTTGTGCTGGAATGGGCCGGTATCGGTGGATTGTGCAATAGTGATCGGTCCAAGGAAGCAATCACTCACTTACAATCAATGTGGGTTTGATGGATTGAGCGTTTAAAACCCTAAAACTCCCAAGTTTTTTTTAATATATTCACATTGGTTGGAAAAAAAAGGGGTATTTAATTATCTTTCATTGTTCTCCATCCTCTCATCCACAAATGGATCTGAGTTTTAAAAAAAATCATTGTAAAAGGGGGGGGGGAAGACGGGATTCATGGGGGGGGAGAGAGAGAGAGAGAGAGAGGGGCAGAGGAACACATGGTTTGAGTATTGCAAGTAAAAGCTCAGGCAAAGAAGATGATGAGAAGATTCTGAATGGGAAAAGAAAAAAGGGATCAAATTTTGGTGTCCCCTCACAACCCCAGGGTTTTTGCTCTTAGTGTGTGTGTGTGTGTTGGTTTCTTCGGTTTGAAGGAAGGGGAAATTGTAAAGTCAGCATGTGCAGTGGGCTGTTCCTGATATTAATCCAACTGGCAAAAGTATCTCTCTCTCTCTCATTCCGTGGTTCTATGTGGTATTCTTGCCATGCTGTATTAAAGGCTTGGGAACCCATTCCCCTGTTCTGGAAATCTGATAACTATCACAGCGCTTCTTCACAACTCCCACATGTTCATAAAAGCTTTAATTTTCAGGATGAGATTAAAAAAATTACGTGCTTTATTTATTTATTTTTATTGACCAACAAGGACATATACTATATTTCTAAGGGTAAATTACACGTTTAACACCTAAACTTTTAGTTTGAACTCATTTTAATGTCTAAACTTTCAATTTTTTAAAATTATACATAAAATTTAATTTTTGCTTTATTTTAGTACACTGTTCAAAATTTAATGTTAAACTTTGAAAAAAGTAAGTGACATATATTAGAATGAATCAAAACTGATATTTTATATACTAAATGCGTTAAGTTTTTAACGACAGATACTAAAATAAAATAAAAATTAAACATGAGGTACAATTTTGTTGAAAAAATTAAAAGTTTAAATACTAAAAAAATAAAACTGATTAACTCTATTTTTAATCCCGGTCCAAGATGCAGTACAACGCAAATGTCGAGACAAGAGAAGATATGCATATGTAAATATAAGAAGTAAACATTGAATATATAAATAATATTTTATTGCTTAAATTTTATTTAATAATGTAGAGGTAATATCACATGTGAAAGTAATTTAGAAAAAAAATTATTCCCCTTAATAATAATTTTCTTTGTGAACCAAACGTCCCCTAAATGTAAGTGCATCATAACTCATATATATATATATATATTCTTTTTTCACAATCGTACAATAAGATTTATAGTATCATTTAATATGGCCAACCATGCAATGGAAGGAGAGACCCAAATTAGCTTTGTATAACAAATAAATTACAGTCTCTGATTTAAATTTCTATGGGCCAACAAAAAGCTTACCATTTCCCCCCCCCCCCCCGAAAGTTGTGTTTAGTCATCATCATAACCCCCCACGTCTCCATCTCCGTATCCTTCTCCATAGTCATTGTCTTCCACCGGTGCTTGATCGGCTCCGCCCGTATTGTAGGGCACATTAGTTTCCTCATCGTCCATTTCATCCACCATTTGTGCATCCTTGGTAACAGCCTTCATCGACTCCAGATATTCATCATTCAAGAATGATGCATATGGCTTCCCTACCTGCACAGGGTGTTTCTTAGCATTATATTCAAATGCATTCATTTCAACCTAACCATTTGCCCCAATAGGGAGACCAACCAGTCGGTTCGGATAAATGATTGAAAAAATCCGCTTACCAAACCAACCCCTACTTTATCCGACTATCTGACTACTAACTTGGGACTTAAATGAACTAACCGAACTGATACATCGTCGGTTAAGTAGGTCATTAAAAAGACTACCACCTTAAAGAGACAGTCTCGCTTCTCGGCACTTTCTACTAGGTTGCTCCAATGCTCATCCCTCTTCAGTGTTGATGCTGAACCTACAACCTGCAGAAACAACCAAATCTGTTAAGTACATGATTCATCCAAACATCAAATTCAACTAGATTTGTTATATCATAGTACCAGTACAGAAGACTTTGCTCGGGTGATCCCAACGTTCATTCGCCGAAAATCAGCCACAAAGCCTATGCCTCTATCTTTGCTTGCCCTAACACAAGAAAATATTACAACATCCTTTTCCCGTCCCTGAAAGGAAAAACAGAGAATGCATTTATCTTAGATCTAGTATGTTAAATATTACCTGGAAACCGGACGTAAGTGCATGAAAAGCTTTTCTACTTAAATAAGAGAACAAGACTATTACCTGGAAACCATCAATGGTACCGATATCCACAACCTTTTTCGAATCAACCCCAAACGTTTCCTGAAATTTCTCTTGCAAAAGCTTCACTTGATGTCTATAAGGGCTTATAATTGCAAATTGAGAGCTTGACTTAAGTGCTGGGTACATGGTTATCAACTTACTATACATAGCAAGAACAAATTCAATCTCATCATTATTTACCCAGGACCCACTTCCTGAGGGTTGCGACTCTTTCCCTTCATGTATATCAAAAAAGCAAAATGGTCCAAAGCAGCGGTATTTGTGCCATTCACGAGTAGTTCGATCTTGAACATCTGAGCCATCTTCTAATGCCTCATCATAGAACTCCTTTGAAGGGAAACTTCTTATCTGTTCCACAAATAGATTATCTAATCGAAGACAACACATTGTACAAAGCAACTCATAAAAGCTAAGTCGCAGCCGGATTATGTAACTGTCTTAATCCTTAACATACAGCCACATGATGCAAACGAAGCATTATTAATAAGAGCTGGAACCATTAATAAACACTAACAATCTTTTAAAACATAAAGCTGCTAAATAAGTTGATGCAGTTCAGCACGGCATATCCAATTATCTATAATCTGCCGTCTCATTGCACCAAATAGGGTATCTCTACCGCTATCACATATCCATTGACATCTTTAATATCACCGATATTTTACTAGTTAAAAGGAATTATAGCTCCACAAATAATTAGTTAACATAACTTATATGATTTTATTCCTTTGGATCAGTAATATCAATATTCATTTATTTTCTTACCTCAGGATGCATACGATACTGGGTCTTCAGCATCTTTACAGGATAACCAGCCCTCTGAAATCTCTTGAACAAGCTTGTGCCATAGCTTCAAAATTAAGAAGTGTATGAGACAAAAATACAGGGATAGAAGATAAAGGAAGTTACTTAAGTACATTATTAAGTGTTTTACCCATGTTTCTCAGCAACAGGCGAAATTACAGTAGCTGGTAATTGAACTGGATCACCTATCTAAGGAAAATTAGTAAATTAAAGAACTTCACTAATGGCATTTCCCAAGTAAATGCAATGGTAAATAATGTTAATATCAAACAGTTGGTTCATGAGAAGTGAAGGTTTTCTAGACATTGTAGAATGAAGGTCTTTACAAAAGGATTTTAAACCGAGGATAGATTTACAAGTTTCAAATGGCTATTTTCTTTATGTTAGACATCAAATTTGCATGAGTGCAAACTAGAAATGTATCTTGCAAGTTGAAAATCGACATAGAATCTGTCATTCAGAAATTATGGGCATTTCTACATCAATGTCTCCCTATGATCCTAACATGTTCAATTCCTGTATGATCATCACAATCACAAAAATTTGCCACTATGGAGAACAGCAGAATCTAGAGCACCAGTCTAAATTACCATTACACCGGCCAAAAATTTTCTACCCTCATCTTTAAGGCAGGTTATTTTTTTTTTATAGGAATGTAGGCCTCGTTAAAAACCCCCTTCATGATTAATGGAACACTAAGTGCTTCTCAATCAGCGGAAGGAGGAAAAGAGTGCCTTAGGATTCATTAAAAACCACAATATACATAATGTTTAACAACAACACATAAACACTCCCTTTACATAATCCAACCCTCATCTTTAAGGCAGGTTATTACCACCATCACCATTCACCAGAACTACTATTTTAATGATTTTATACCACACCATTTCCACTGCAACACTCAACTCAACCACCGTATAATTTCATTGTTTTTTCAATATGCTCAAGTAAAATGATGATAAATTACAAATTTCAGGTTATAATTACTTGATAGCTACATCCTATCAAGAAACTGTTAGATGAAGAGAAATATTAGAAGTATCTACAGCATCTTTGAGAAATACAACAATTATTATTCAATGATTTTAAAACATAAATATAGACACTAGAGAATAGAAAGCCACACAAAAGAATCAGAATTTTACCAGAAATACTTGTTTGCAGCCACTGGACAAAGGAAGAAGAGTAGCAGCTTCTACCTGTTCAAGAACATACAATTAGATAATAATGACAGCACAATATGAGAATAAAGGGGTAGAATTGTATCATATAAATCACTAGCAAATGTATTCAAGGGACACAAAATTCCCAAGTAGAAAGTTGTGACCGGCTAGCAAGAGCTTTTTTGAAAAAGGAAAGCTCCTCCGATGCCTTTGAAAAACAGAAAAACAATGTCCAATACCCGTGAGAAAATATTCAGAGAACTTAAAGCAGTCTCTTCCCAAAATTTGAAAAACTAGCATAAAACAGATTAAGGATTAACTGCTGTAGATTATTCAAGGTCCTACAAGAATAAAAGTAATTTTAGACTCTTACAGCTTGAGCGGCTTCATCTATTATAACAACATCGAAACCGGAATTCCGTTTAGAAAGCAATGCTGAACCACTGAAGCTGAGAGTGGAGAACACCTACCAAGATTACAAAGATGCAGTTAAGCTTTAAACACAGGTTGGACTTAAAAGTTGAGAGAAATTAGATTAACATACAATAACAGCCTCATCTAAAACTGCAGCACGAATACTGTCTAGATCCTCCCTTGCCGAGGAAGATTGTTTCTGCTTATTATCGTCAACCAAATCCCGCTTTTGATTAACCTGCAAAGGAAATTTCCCTTATCATCATTATTGAATTGGAATTATCAAGATACCTTTCAGGATATACTTCTTCCTTAGCCAATTAAATCATCGTGTCATTTAAGTTATAATAGAATTGATAGAATTTTATATGCTTTGATGGTTTTGACAGTTCTTGCCTCATAAGTCATAATTATTGAAGGTCCACTTGGAAGAACTTCAACCTAACACTTGTGCAGATTGATCATGCTCATTACCAAAAATAAATTAAGTTCCAAAGGTTAAAGTAAATGTAAGCAAGGTAATCCATGGAAACTGCCTCGACAGTATGATGTGGTTTAAGACCACTGTGAACAATTTTAGGAGTACACTCTCCGTGCCAATAATAACCGAAGTTCCAAAGGTTAAACTACAATACATACAAGGTAATCCAGAGAGACTGCCTCTACAGAATGGTGTGGTTTAAGACCAATGCGAACAATTTTAGGAGTATATGCACGAACATTTTCATCCCGAACACCTGTATGAAATAGAAAAATATAAAGTATAACTATATCAAGAATGATGGCCAGATAAAAGCACGTAGACTTTAAAACATTTCAGACAACTTACAAACCAACAATAATATGTAGAAAACTCAAAGTCAAAGTCAATTTAACTGGTTTCATTTACTACTTTCAGATGAATGCTTCTTTAGTATTGTCACCTTTTCATTTTAGTTTGAAGAACTTAATATAGAGAAAAAGATTGAACATGCAATAATATATATATATATATTAAATCAAGTTTACTAGAGAGACATAAATCAAGCTAAATGCTGGATTAAGTTGTTAATGAACAACAGTAATAAATAAGCTTCTGGTGTTCATGTTTCATGAACAATAATATGCTTTAAACTACAATATCCATTCCACACAAAAATTGATCATTATGTCTAGTACAATAGAATAGAAAAAAGGAACCACCAAAGAATGTTGAAAAATGTTAACTAGTACAATCTATGACTTATACCAGCTATTTTTCTCTAAAGAAGTAAAAGAGAGTGAGCAAAAGTCATACCAGTTTTTAAAAGGCGAAAAACAATCTCATCAAGAGCAGAATTCGACGGTGCACATACCAGCACCCTTAACCGGTATTTCCGACTGGAATTAACAACTTCTGGTTTCTGCACAGCAGTTAAAGATGGAAGATAATAATTGATCAAATTGTTCAAAGCTAACAAACCAACATCAAGACTTAAGCATACCATCTCATTTCCAGTGGTGGGAAAGAAACCATCATCACCATCAATAGGCATGATAAGATCCCTGGGATTGCCACTCATTAACCATGGAGAAGCTCGTCCCCAATGCTTGTATCTGCATAACACATAATAATTAGGGTCCAATAGGTCAACAGAAAATATGCATGTCAGACTCGATTGTATGATGCTATTTTAGGCACAAAACACTAGCATCTTGAAAACAGCCACTCTATGAAAATAAAAATGTAAACTTAAGATTGTCATTGCAACTGAACTATTTATATTGACTTAGAAATGGAATAGTTTTTAAAATATGTATTTGACAAAGAAAAGCTTTAGGGGAGCATATAAGGGTAGCTTTCAGGTGCATTATCATTTGAAGATCAATGGCCATTTGAGAAAACATAAAACCTTTCTACACAAACTCCAACTGAAAATGTATGCGAGATGATAAAGCAATTCAAGACATCCATGGTCAATTGTGATTCGATGCAGGGATGAAAGATGGATTCAGCACATACTTTTCTTCAATGGGTAGTTCTGGTCCACACTTTAGTTCAAGCAATCCACCCCTGTGAACGTAAATATATGCTATTGTAGGTTTATTTCTACAAGTGGCACATTGCCCAAGATCTAAGGAAATAAAGAAAAAAATCATACTTAGAGTGCATTCTTCCTGGAGTTGCATGCAAAATAGCACTCAGGAGACCAAGGATGGTCTGTGTCTTCCCTGTTCCAGGTGGCCCCTAGAAAAAACTACATGGTCAGCTAACAGAAAGAAAGAGTTCTTTTTTTTTTAGAAAATAGCCAATAAACAAATAGAAGAAACCAAGTGAGATGCTAAACCTGTATCAAGACAAATGCTTTACGAGATAGACCCGCCTGCAACAGAGAGGATGAAATAACTCTTTGGTTATGAGTGGGTCAATAACAAGGTAGATCCAAACCAATAGTTGCTTAAGCTAAAACTGCATGAACTATCATAAAAATAAGGAGAGAATCACCAGGTCAATAACTAGTTTAATAAATTAACTAGAGACTTACATGTATAGCTTCCTGTTGAGAGTTGTTGAGATTCTCCTTAAAATAATCATGAAGGGATTCAGATATTTTCCAGGCTTGGTCTTCAGAACCAGAATCTCTTTCCGCAGCTTTAAGTATTAAATCCTTGAAAGGGAGAAAACCAACTGAACACAGAGCTATATATTCTCGCGCAATAGTTGATAAACTACAAACCTGCAGAGACAAACACATTAACCATATGTCTCAGCAGCCAGTGGATTCAGTTGCACCTCCATCCATCAATGTGATGTATTTGATGCATAAAGGGCAGAAGCGAAACCCGTACATGGTCAAAGCAGGTAAGACACAGCTTATTACCTTTATGCTGAACAAACGTTTCTCCACTGCAGTAGCAGTAGAAGTGATAAGAGCCTGCATACGCATCAACCTTGCAGAACTTTTTTCAACATCAGGATTTACTTGTGTGAACTCTCCAGCTAAATACATTCTGAGTCTAAGCGTATTCTTTTGTCTATGCTCCACCAATGCAAATGCATATGTTGTTGGGAGTTTTTTGCTACCTACTTTAAACTAAAACAGTAAAAGCCTAATCAAGAATCTAACAAATTCATCAGACTCAACATGTTTCCCTTATTACAGAAATAAAAATCCCTTTGGTCGCCAAATAACAGGAAAAGATCATGAATAAGAAAAACCAATAACATGGCTAAGATTATAACTATCTACCATTATTATACTAAGTTAACTGAATAAATTCAAGTCAGCAATGCACCAATAACAATGAAAGGAAATTGTATACCTAAAAGAGGGGTCTAAACAATTATAGCACCATAACGGAACCATAACAAAATACATCATTTTTATTCTTCTTGATAGTTTCTTTTGATAATCGAACCATTTTGAGAAGAAAAAATGCATGTTTTACTTTTGCAACGAACAACTAGTAGTTAATTTGTTTATTTTTATCAATTTATTGTCTCAATTTCATAGAACCCTTTTTTAGATAGCAACTGAAGCTTAATTACCTCCTCTTTTGAAAGCAGCAAAAGGTCATTCTGCGATATTGATTCTTCCTCCCCTGCTTCGTAAGTAATGGCAGGTAAGTAAAATCCATCGGCCTCATTGAATTCCATGACCAACCTCAGCTTCCAATCAGTCACTGCAATGCTTAATGACAAAACATGAGAAAGAGAGAAAGGTTTTGTTTAGGCAAAAAAAAAAAATACTCGAGAACAAAACAGAGCGAAACGCTTACCTTCCTCCTCATCTTTTCTCTGAACGATCTGAGCTTTAACTTCCTCGAATAAAAGCGGCTCGAAAGTGGCCAAGTAATCATCGACATCATTGTACTTATCCTTCACTTCTTTTAGAGCCGACTTTGCCTTGTCTTCGCCTTTTTTCTGATTCCAAATCCAAAATTAAAAAAATAAATAAAAAACAAATCCAAAAGGAAATTGAAAATTTGATAAGGAGAAAAATAAGAGAAAAACGTACGTTAGATAATTTGAGGAGGCGAAAATAGTCCCAGCCAAGAATAATTTTACAGAAACGGACAATGAAGGCTTCTTCTTGAAGCTTGTCCTTGTCCACGGCCATGGCTTTTTCACTCTTCCGTTTCAGAGACTTAGTGAAGAGTGGACAGGCTTAGGAGGAGATAAAGAGGGTTTAACAAAGGGGAAGGTTTAAGCAGCGACTATCACTGCGCTTCGGAACTACTGGAGCTCGGATCGTGGATACTAGTTTCTGGTTAGGTCCCAGTAGCCGGTTTTTTCCCTTGGGTCGTGGCCTTGTGGGCTTGCTGGGAAACGGGGTTTTTGGTAAAACTGGCCCAATTCTATAGGTTGGCTAACTATATTTAGGGCTGTTTGTTTGATTCAAAATAAAATCATTCAGTGTTCAACATTCAGCGTTTTTGTTTTGCATCTTTGAATGATTCAGTAAAACAGTACTGAATGATTCAACACAGAAGTACATTCTGAATGATTCAGAGCTATTATCAAGCAGCATGTCACATTCAGAACTAATTCATACAGAGCCTCTGAATCATTCAGCATTTGAATCATTCAACGCTTAATCATTCTGAAATAAACAAACAGCCCCTTAAACTCGATAACTCCTCCATTTCCCCTCCATTTCCTCTACTTCACCTATAACACGTTGAGAAAAAAATAATACGAATACTACATTTATTTATTTATTTTAAAAAGTAAGGGGAGCTTGATGATTTATATTTAGAAACGAAATGATAATATTGAGCCTATGTTTTATTACCAGTGTGACTAAATGACTGCTATAGCCGGGAATAACACGTTATGTATCTCTTCTCTTGCAGTTGCAGCGCAGGTTGAGGTTCCACTTTATTTCGTCCTCTCTCTCTCTCTCTCTCTCTCAGGTCTTTGATTTGCTTGTTTTGATCTGCTCTGCGTTTCTGAAATAAAAAATTTCCTCTCACCCAATCAGCGGAAAGGAAAAAAAAAAGAAAGGACAAGTGAGCAAAGAGGAGGAGAAAATACAACTGAAAATTCGGGGGTGTCATGGCGTCTTCTAAGGTGATTACGACCACGTCACAGACGAATCCATCCCCATGCTCTCCGCTCTCCTCGCTGATTTCTGAACATTGTTAATATCGATGAACGTTTTTGTTCCGTTTTGATTTCTGAACATCCATTGCAGGCTGAGCTGAACAAGGAGAGGTTTAAGCAGGTATGTAGCTTTGTTTAATCTTTCAATTCTACTGCACTATGTGCTTCAGATGTTTCAATACTTCTTCAACTTATTCTACGAATCACGAATTCTTAAAAATCCCATCGTTAATATGGTGATCAATTATTTGCTAGTAAAAGAACACACAGGCACAGCAAACATCGACTAAATACTGAAATACATTTTCACTTTGCAGTAGATTTCTTTACATCATACTCATGAGTTAAGAGCTCGTCACTATGATGAGTTGATGACTGTGTCGCCATAATAATGATTTGTATTCGAGAATGTGCTATTGGTAAAACCTAGTAATGATTGTCCTCTTTGCTTGAATGATGATGATAATGCTGGTATCCAGTTCCGACACCTTGCTGTGGTTTATATCAAATTCAGTTGAAGGAGAACTTGATCCCCGTCGTGGAGAAGCAAAGACCACGTCGTGTAATAAAACGTGTTCATTCTATGGAATGGTAAATGTTTGGCAGCTGCTCCTAATCTTTTTTCTTGTCAATGGTGTGTCCATTATTGAAGCTATGGGAAATAACTGCAAGAACCAAGCTGAAACTGAAGTGGGGTATGAGAGATGAAATCAAAAACCCAAAAATAAGCTTGAAACCAAGTTTCAAGCTTGATCTAGATTTTTACCCATGTGCAAGTCCTATTGAGAAACTGAAGTTTGAGGTGTGGTAGGCCAGGCCTATAACTGATCTAACACAAATGAAACAAAAACTATGATTTAGGTATGATTTTAAAAAAATTGAAAGTTTATATATTAAAACGGACTAAAACTGATAGTTTAATTACTAAATATGTAGTTTGCCCAAAAATAAAAAAAAAACTCGAAATCAAGAGAAAATAAAAAAAAAATTATATTAGAGTAATTATAGGGTGTATGCGAATGTATGGTAGTAAGCAACACAGCCATAGGATTTGACTGGATCCGGTGCGTCGTATTTTCAACGCTTCCACTTTAAATAATGTCAAATCGCAATCGGTAGATCACATCTGATGGTTGCGGTTGGTTATTGACTTTAATGAAAGTGGGACGCATGTTACTGGCCACGTCAACGTATTTACCCGTTCGGTGTAAAAGAATTGTCATCTATAAATATAATTTAATAATTAATATTTTTACTAAAATATATTAAAATAATATATTAATATTAAATATACAAAATAATAATATTTTCAGTGTTTTTACTTTGAAGTGAAAAATTCGTAAAATGAATTATAGAAAATCAGACGATAAGTTATTTTTCAAAAAATACAAAGAAATTTTAATTGATTAGACCATCTATTTTTCGACAACTAAATATTGAAAAATAAGAAAAACATTTTTAAAAAAATCAATTACAGAAAAATAAACAAACCCTTAAAATTTTTAGTTTCGTCCCTAAATTAAATCATAATTTTATTTAGAATTCAATATCATCGTTGTTACTAATATCGGTAATGGTATCATCACATGAAGCAACAGTAATCTGAATAGCTCCATTGTTGGAAGAAACTAATTCATTCATCGTCTTCATCTCTTTGTCCTTTCCCCACAGCACACCATATAGTCCCACCACAATCAGCACTGCTCCCATTATGCTGTGATTTAGGCCACATTAAATAAATAATAATAATGTCAGATTCGATTATTGAATCTTATTTCGATAAATAATTATTAGGGTTAAATGATAACTTATATTGGTTTTTTTTCACTTTCAGTCACTAATTTCAAAATACATAAGATATGATCAACTTCGTTTTTATTTAATTAAAATATGATAACTTTTATTTTTACTTATTAAAGATATAATCACCACAGTTTTACCGACGTTAAAAGTTAACCTATTAAGTTACGTGATATTTTGGTATAAGTAATATAAAAATAATACAAAATCTTACATAAGATAAAATTCCGTTGAGAGTTAATCGTAACTCAAATTTAACATGATTAGAGATGATAATTTAATTTGGATGTAACAGATTCTGGTATGATCCGATAAAAATATTTTTTATTTAATTTTTTTAAAGGACGTGGATATTTTAAATCCGGATCTATTATTTTAAAAATAGATTCAAATAATAAACATTTAAACTTAAATATATTATTTTTAAAAATAAAATAAATTTAAATAATAAATAATTGAGGTGGTGAAGTTTAGCAGATGGTGGGTTTTCGTGGCGATTTTGGTGGCAGATGGTAGGTTTCATTTAGCAGCTTTGGAAGCTATGCACTCATCTGAACACGCATAATTTTATTGCAGAATTTTATGTTAGAGAGATAAATTTGAACTTATAAAATTTTAGGAGACGAAAATAAATATTCAATAGAAAATATATAGAAAAAGATTTAAAATATATTGTAGTTTTAGATTTTTAGGGGGATACAGTCTCGACCCGCCCTCGCCTAGGTCCATTCCTGCATGGGAGCATTGCTAACTCTGCTTAAATGCCATTTCCATGTCTAATTTATAGGAGTTTTGAAGTACAATATCATAGAATATCTTTTACTGCAGCGCGGCCCTTGGAGCGCGTCTTATGCCACGTAGGGTATAGCGCGGGTCAGGGGCTACGCCTTACCTTTAATTCTCTGACATAATTATATATAGCGCGGGGCAGGGGCCGTGCCATACCTTTAACTGATATAATTATATAAGGCGCAATACATGTATCGCGCCTTGTATAATTATAACAACTTTTCTCGGCTATAAATACCCTTCTCCCCCGGTTAAGTTCCTCACATCTCCTCACATCTCTCCTCTCAACTTATAAATTAATACAACAATTCCGTCAACGAGTCAATAATTCTGACAATTGTCTCATATTTAATTCAGAAATTCGTGCGATTTTTCGTTATAAGGTACTTTTGTGATAAATTTAGATCAAGGAAGTATTGCTGTTGCACTACAACATTAGGGTTCATCTTCCTAGATACCGATGATTTGAATATGTGCATCGTATATCCTTCTTCATTTACCAGATCATTTTAATGCCATTTTGTATTGCTATTTAAATAGCTTATCCATACTATATATAAACTCTCTGACTGAGTTGGTGTCACGAGTCAACTTTGTTGAGAAATGATTAAATTATGGATTTGAATTATGGGTCAGATGGAGAACAACAAAGACAACCTTCTATTAGGCATTGGAGACTTCAACCACTATGCCTTGGCGTCAACAAGATGTACTAGCTTTGTCATCATGGAAATGTCATCTTCTCTCATTTTGTGCACAGGGAAAGCTGGAAAGGAAAGCACAGCAATGCCGGCGACGGGAGCGAATTCGGATGGGATTCCACCGTCAATGTGTGGGGTAGTACGCTGTTTTACTGTGATATTGGGTGGGACGAGGTGCAGCAATATCATTTCGACTCGTATTCCTTTCAGAGGGACTTTGCTCGATGCGAGAGCCAATGTTCATGTCTGGTTTCGGCCGAAGAATGGACTGAACGGACAAACAGGGTTCTGGGAATTTGCATACAACTGGTCATCTTGAATGCTTTGATCAATTCTCGGATAATGCATGTTGCTCTTCGAATATCAGCCTCTTGTCTTGTATCACCTTGTTTAAACAAAAAACGCCGAGCAATGTCAGTTTGCAGCGGCTTTTTACATCTAGAATAAATTTCAACCCAAATCCAAAGTCCTTGTTTGGTTGCCGAGAAAATTAGGTGTTTTCGTGGATTTGGGTATCCGAAGTCCATACAACGTGCTATCGTGCCGTCCAAAAATCCAATTCAAAGAATCAAAACGGAGTATAATTAGATGACGTCATTTGATGACGTGGACTTTCAAAGACCCAATGGGTTGACGTCATATCATCATGTCGGGTAAAAGTTAGGATGGTTGGACAGAAATTATTTCAAAGAGTCAATGACTTACTTTGTTTTTATGCCATTAATTCACTCGTAATCACCTTTTTTTTCATGCCATTAATTCTCTAAAAATCACTTAGTTTCATATTTAAAGAAGTAAGGTTCATCATTCAAAAAAAGGTTTAATACCAAAACAAGTGCCCAAACTATAATGTTTTTTCTTAAATAGGTGCCTAAACTATTTTTTGACTCATACAGGTGTCTAACGTTACAAACGTTACCCATTTAGGTGCCCGGACCTTCAACGGTGTTAATTTTCCCGTTAAGCGACACATGTCACACTCAATTTTTATTTAAAATTAAAAAAATAAAATAATATATATATATATATTTATTTATTTATTTAAAAAAGAAAACACAAAATTTGAAATAAACCAAAAACTTTGAAAACCTTCATTTCAACCCCTAAACCTAAGCCAGTCGTCGAAGAAGCTCCACCCGACCTCCTCTCCAATTGCAGACCAAAACCCTTATGAAATCGTGACCGATCGACGGTCGTTCAACGATGAATTGATGTTTTATACTCTGCGAACCCTAGGTTGAAAATCACAATCCCTCGTGATTTCGACGGCAATTACGACGGCGTATGACTAGGATGATGGCAGAGGCTACGTCGACGGCGGTTGTTGTGGTCGGATAAGGCAACAACAACAGGTTAAGGTTAAGATTTGGGGATTTTAGGGATTTGAGGGCTATTTTATAATTTAAGAGAAATTGGAGTTTTTCATCCGATTATGACACGTGTCACTTAAAGGTTGAAATTAACGCGGTTGATGGCCCAGAAACCTAAATGGGTAACGTTTGTAACTTTAGGCACATGGATGAGTCAAAAAATAGTTTAGACACCTATTTAAGAAAAACAATATAGTTTAGACACTTATTTTGGTATTAAACCTTTAAAAAATGACACGATGAGTCAAGTGAAAAATGAGTGAAGTGGATATACTTTAATGGTTGAGATTATAAACGGTACAGTGAAGAGTGTTCATGTAATAATTTTTCGATTTAAAGACGATGAATCAAAATCGGTGAAGAGTGTTCATATGATAAATATTTGATTTAAAGACGATGAATCAAAATCGCATCCGAATCTTAATCCATTTACACAAACGTTTAAACAAGAAGAGACAAACATAGCATGGATTAAACTGCTTCCAAATCTTCAATGAATCGTTTTCTTTTTTACACTAAACCTAAAATACAAACATATGATAAGCAAAGCCATGGCATCAAATATTATTCTCAGTCCTCTCTCGGTCATCTTCTGCCATCGTCCTCACGCTTTTATTATATTGTATACAGAATCTATGCGATTCATGCATCTCGGTTCCATCTCATCTTCTACAGCTCCGTTCGATAAGATTCGGCCATAAAACGACACCTTTGAGGTGGCGGATGCCTCTTACCAGAAGGAGCATAATTGATGGTGACACTGCTGCCGGAGACTCGGATTAGATGCTTGATGAAGGGAGATTCGGATGGTGTGGCACTGAGCTGATTTGTATATATCTATGCACTCCTCGAGGTCGGCGTCGCACGTCAAGAGAACCCATTCGACGTCGTCATCCAAGTACTTGAGATCGATTTTGCCGGTATCTTCGATGTTAAAACGCTTCATGATCTCTTGTTGCAAGTCTATGAAACCCCAACTTGGTTGCAGGACGAACTGTATCTTAGCTTCTCCGAACATAGCTTTCACTCTCAAGGCGCCCCCGGTCGATAAATTCCGGCCAAACGATTTCAGGAACCGAGGTCGAGTCTCGAAATTAGGATGCTCACCTATTGTTTTACGGCTCGGGGAGTGCGATTCAGCATAACCGAGAACGCTGTTTAGTGTTCCACCAGGATCTTCCACTGCATTGGTACTGGTACTCTGCTGTTTAGCTCTTGTGGAGCTACAAGTACTCGAACCGGAGCTTTGACTCGATGAAGACGATCTAGATTTCGAAGAAGCAGCTCCTCGGATGAACATGCCGCTGTCCAGTTGAGGTTCTGATGTCAAGTTTGGCGAGCTAAGTTCCAGGAAGCTTGAATAGAACGAGTCTATTCGAATGGCTCCCTCAGCACCATGAACCGAATCAATAACAGCTTGGAGCTTTCTTAAAGAGTGGCCTACCTTCTTAATTTTTCGAGACGGCCATCGATTGATCCCATGTTGTCTGCATATCCTTTTCAAAGTAGTCGGGCACACTGCAATAGAATAAACTCGGTAAGCGACTCGAACGGACTCGGTACTCTGTCAATGTTTTCCGATCGTTTACTCGAGCTATTTGGTTTTCCGAAAAATGTTTTCCTTAAATGAAAATGAAGACAAGAATACAAGGCTTGTAACTATAATGAACTGTTTGCATACCACCAATACTCTTAGCAGCATCTTTAAGACTCCCTGCAAAGTACTGCCGGAGATCCTGCAAGCTGATTGTCTTCTTTCGTCTCTTCTCACCTGCTTTTTTACCGGCTAAAACTCGGTGCCCGCCGGAAGAAGAGTCGCCACCACCTCCTTCGACACTAGCTTCGGTTCCGGAATTCCGGTGAACATGTCCGAAATCCAAAAGTACCTTCTTATTGTGTAACTCTAGCCGTGTCTCTTCCCAATAGGTTGTCACCTTGAATTCTTCTTTCGGTATTTGAACACCTTTTCCCTTCTGTTGGGCCTCCATCATTTGCGCAATCCATGATGACTCCACCGGAGAGTTATTTTCCGACGAAGCAATCCTAAATTGGTCTGATCTTGAACCCGAACTAACTACCATTTCCTTAACTGGAAAGCATCACTTCTTCCTCAAGCTCCGGCAAGCCAGTTGTGTAAACAGGACAACGTGTTCAGCATAAGCCTTTGTGCTCCGCCGTCACGACAATATCTCGATAAGAATAATTCCAAAAGGACCGCAACCAATCAAGTAAACGTGCTTCGTAGCGGGACAATTCGTCTTAGCCGAACAGGTGACGTTCGGAGCACGCCTCTACGAAGCCCCAAAGACCTTCATCGGCCACGAAGCAAGCGGAATCCAAGGCGGAAACCTCGTCGGATCGTCGGCATCCACTTTAACCTCAACACTAGGTGGAGTATGAAGCAATGGGAGCTCCTTGGATCAACGGCCTGCTAAAAAAATGCGCTCTATTTAAACCAGAATATGAGGAAAGAGCAGGTCTCATTATGTGACAAATGAGTAACATAATAAACAAATGCATGACCATTGGCTCTTCTCAAAGGTTTTTTTTTATGTATATTTAGTTTCCTTTTCTGAAAAATGAAAAGTCAATTACCAAATAACGCATGCAACAGAGTAATCATTATAAAAATGAAGAAAATTGAAAAAGAAAAACTCGGGACTACGGATCACAAACGGGAGAGTGGGATGGAGAAAGATGTGCATGGAATCCGAACCTGACAAGTTTTGACTCGATTTGATTGGGTCAGATTTTTTTTTTAAAAAAATTAGATTTGGGTCGGGTTCGAATTTATGGTGAAAAATATTTGATCCGAAAAATAATTTTACTTTAAATATTTAAGAATAATTACAATAATACCCCTCTATATATTATTTTTTCTATTTAAGTCATTGTTTTTATTGAATAAAAATATTTTATTATTATTTTGGATCGGGTCAGATTTTTAAGTTATATATCGGGTCGGGTAAAAACTTGTTTTGGTCAGGTCGATTATTGGGTGGAAGACTCCTTGTTTTCGGGTTGGGCTGGGTGGACCCAAAACCCGACCTATGCCTATCTCTAGGGATGGGTAGGCATAGGTGCATATACTCTTTCTTTTATCTTTATACCTATTTAATATTTTTGTATCTACCACTCACGACAGATAAAATTTTTAAATTTACACTCATTTACGCGAAAAAATTCTCAAATTCATCTCCACACCCACTACCTACTAGATACCCACCACCATCTCGTATATGTCTGTACCCGTTCATACTCACTAATTTGAAATAAGAAAAACGACGATCTCCAACTCTAAAAGTGTTTATACCCTAATATTTTGTTAAATTACAAATCATTTCTTATAAAATCTTAAGATTTACATAATAATCTCTGAAATTATATTTAAATTCATAATAATCCAAAATTTACGTGGTAAGAAGTTAGTGGACGTGCGGATGCGGGACGGGTAAGGTCTTAAACTCATCACTTAAACACTATCTAGCGTGGGTATGACTTTTTACATCTACCAACTACCCACTAAACTTATATTTATCTGCGTTTCGAAGTGAATACGATGTGAAATCCATGAAATTATATGGTTGTGCCACCCCTAGTAGGGACATTTGCTCACTCATGAAGAAAATGAAAGCTATTCACTTTACAAAGAATCTTTGAGAAAAAGAAAACCCAGCTTTGGTTCTTTGGTTGTGAGTCGAAGAATCTTGGAATTCATGAAGAAAACAGTTGAAGCTCTTTTGCAAAGTGGCTCTCAAGATCTTGGGAGGCCATGGCTTCTCCTGCCATGGCCGAGCTCTCTTTGTCTTGTGTTTTTTTTCGCTCGAGTCGCCGCGTACGATGAACTGTATTAGAAATTTAACCATTCATTATTAACTAATCGTCTGATTAAACAATTAAAGTACACGTTTAGGGTTTAAACGTGGAATCCTTCACCTGGTTTATTGAGGAAAACAGGCCGGCCCTACAACTTGTTGCTTTCTCAAGGAACAATAACAAAATAATAATAATGGGTAAACTACGTCGGATATCTCCATTGAATTTTTAATTTTGTCAATTATAGCATTGAGTTCTGGTTTTTGTTTCAATTATATCACTAGATCATTAAATCATTAACGGTCGGATCAAAATGACGTTTTTTTGGCGAGATGTCTACGTCGGTAGCAATCAACCACGTGATTGTGTCGTTAACGATTCAATGGTTAAGTGACATAATCAAAACGGAAATCAAAGTTCAGCTCTATAATTGACAAAATTAAAAATTCAGTCGTATAAATTAGGGGTGCTTATCAAGCGAGTCGATCGTGAGTTGGGAAGTACTCGACTCGTGCTCGTTAAAAAATTTTGTTGCTCGTTAAGCTCATTAAAATTTTGCTCAACTTGTGCTCGTTAAGAAAATTTGTTGCTAAACTCTTTGCTCGTTAAGCTCATTAAAATTTTATTCGAATCGTGCTCGTTAAGAAAATTTGTTATTCGACTCGCTGCTCATTAAGCTCACTGCTCGTTAACTTAAGCTCACCAGATTTTTTATTTTACTTTTTTAACTATACTCGTTAAGCTCACCGGATTTTTATTTTATTTTTTTAACTATAAATAAAAATCTATTAATACTATATATAACTTAATATAAACATAAATTAAAAATTTTAACCAAAAATTTATTAAAAGAGCGTACGAAACAAATTCAAAGTCTAAACACCAAAATAACAATCTATAAATATATTAAAATAATAATTAGTGTTTGATTTTTGGGTGTAATAAAATAATTATTATTAATTATTAACTTAGTTTTTTTAATTATTTATTAGAAAATTAATAGATTAGTAATTTATCATCTATTTTATTATCTATTAGTAAATTAGTAAATTTTTAATGAAATAATTTTTTAAGATAACTACTAAAAAGTTATAAAAAAAAAATTAAAGAGTTACTCACGAACTTGTCGAGTCGAGTTGGACTTTACTCGACTCAACTCGTTAAAGTCTCTAGTTTAAGTCGAGTCGAGTTTTTACCGAGCTTTGATCGAATCGAATTTAAGATGCTCAATTCATTAAGTACCTAAAACGCTACAACTCTTAAAATTTAGTGATATCTGACGTAGGTTACGAAGACGACGACAACTACTACAATGACATATAGTTGATTTAGAATATAGCATCAATGATCATGATTAGTCATTGAAATAGAAATAAAATGTTAATTCTATTAGCCAAACCTATGGCCGCCGTCCAAAAATTCTAAATGCTGATTTCAGCCACTAAAAAACTGCCTTTTAAGGGTGCTTACACGCCCATACAAATTGCTTTTAAAAGTTAATAAATTTAAGGGATAATGACACGAATGCTTTGGAAATTTGTCTAATTTATTGATATAGTGTCTGTACTTTTAAAACGTTCAATTATTTAATATAATAGCTTCAGGAATTTTATTTATAGTTGAAATTGATATTCTTAGGGTTTCAAATTGTTGGATAATTGGCTGCTGACGTTGATTTTTTTTTTTTTAATTTCTTATTTTCCTATTTTCTTATCAATAAGTTAACTGAGTTCACATTAGATTTCGAATCTGATCTCGAACAATGATATGTTTCCAAAGAGTATTACACGGCGGCATGATCATCGGTGCAGCGGGGACTGGTTTTTTTGGTATATTTAGGCCCGGCAATGGGAGTTGGACGTGATGGGAACTGACCAGTGTCGATCTTCGTTAATTTAGACCGTCCGGATCATATTTCACAGCATTACTTGACGAAGAAGGCAAGTCAAGGGTGTTAGGTAGGGTAGGAGAAGAAGGGAATCGGAAGCCGGGATCATCGGAACCGACGTTTTCAGTCATTTTCGGGATAAAAACAGAAGAGACAATGAAGAACCGAAGGAGCAAAAAGAAAGTGTACAAAGTGGTGGAAGTATTGCATTTGTAGAGAATACAGTTTAAAGTTGATACTGTCCATAGCTTTTCACCTGGCGCAAAGTACACGGAATTTCGAGTTCGAAAACTACAGTAAATTATCATATTAGCCGGCGAATGCAGAGGAACTAGGGAGAGAGGAAGATCTGAACAAAGCGTGCACGTTTTTGCGACGGCTTTCTATCACAACTTACAACACAAGATACCTTGCGATCCTCTTTGTATGATTGGTCCGGTTGATTGGAGGGTGCTCTAGCCATCTTCATAGTTTTTCCCAGCACATTTAAAACGCAGCAGCACGCTGCAACTCTTTCGCTGCAACAACCGGGAAGGAGAAAATTGTTAGAGTTAAATTCCCGGAGTCTTGTAAATTAGCAGCTCTCCGGTGACGGAATGTTATTATTCATAAACATAGTTCATCTATGTGTGCATATGGATAGAACCACAAGGGAAAAGCCTCCCCCGGGCGGAAAAGAAAAAACACACGGATAAATTACCTTCCTCCAGTGATAGCTGAATTGATCTTTTCTCGAGTTCAACAGCATGTTTACTGAGTTCAACTGCAGAAAGCGACCGAAGCACTGACAACATAACATCAAACAACTTTATCAGTATTATAATATCGTTACGGTAGAGAGAGTAGATATGGTAAAACTGATTCACGAAACACATGCACATACTCCGAGCGTAATCCTCTAGGTCGGACTGGTCCAACTTTTTCAATAGCATCTGCAATTGATAATACCGTTCTTCCCAGTGAAGCTTTTTAGTTCCCCTTGGACTATCCAATCCAGAGGCAGCAGAAACGACTGGATGTTGATTGGATTCTAACGATGGTAATCTCATAGCAGGCTTTCCGGAATGTAAAGGCACAGAAGCTTTGGCAGACGAACTTGTCGAGGATGTCATCGGGACTGGTGAAAATGCTGGGAGACAAGAAACTTTAGGCTCCTTTATTTCTGGATTTTGTTGTCTAATTCCCTCTACTTGACCAGCATGCCTCGGCTGTTGGCAATTACTCGTGCTGATACAGTCAAAAGTACAGTTCTTCCCTAATTCAGCTTCGGGTTTTCTACGTACATAGAAAAGATGCCCGTTTATAGAACTAGTGCTCGGAGATTGGCAGTACGAAGGGCTCACTGGGCATTCAGGGGATGGTCTCTTAGTTCCAGAAACCATAGTAGGATCACTATCTGGTACTCTTTCTTCCGAAATTGAAGAGCTTCCCGTAGTGTAAGGCACGGTTCTATTTTCGTTCTGCAGATCTCTCAATTGTGTCTTCTTTGCACCAACTGGAGGTTGCTTATCACAAGTTGGCGAGTTATTTTCGGGATTCCGCAGTCCGTATTCACTGATGATTTTTTATTCTGGTAACAAGAAGACTAGATCATGATAACAGAAATCAAATTAAAACAAATGGCATGGTTCTCAAAATAAAGAAGGAAACCGAGATTGTTGGAGATAAAAAATTTCCAACCCGAATCACCAAATATATCTTTTTCTGTGGAATCTAATGCATACTGGTTTCGATAATTGACCAGGTAGAGCTAAGAACACTAAGTATATAAGCTTAGCATTCGGCTTAAACCGAAAACAACTACTAAATAAAACTAAGCAACCTAAAGCAGTAATCAGTACCGGATAGTAGATCACAAATGAAACTTGATCGGACTCATGCAAGCCAGGCAAACTATGGCATAAACACTATTGATAAGATATGCATATTTTTGTCAGCCATTAATTCACACATGAATAGGCGGTCATACGACCACCGCGTGTGACCACCACTTATACTGTCTCTATATTATTCGATAATATCGTCATAAATGTTCCAAATTTGTAAGTAAAACAATCCTACAAACCAAATTCTATAGAGACTGAATAGGATAGTTCCATCAATTGAAATTTTACGAACGTGATCAAGTTTTGTTTATCATATACAGCATTCGGGATAACCATAATACACAACAGGCATTTAAAACATTACAAAAGAAGAGAGTATATGGATGATTTTCACAAGCTGAAGTGTTTTCATGCAAGGAGTTCGACCATAGGCAGAACATGTCTCAAGGGAAGTGAATAACCGACAGTTTTTGAAATCTCTTCGAGTTTGTGGTTATGGCCGAATATCATAAGTCATAACAATTCAATACTAAGGATCAAGGGAAACTACCTATGTTCCGTAAAATGACGGTCTCAGGCTGTGTTTCCACCCCAATTAGTGCAAATAAAACCCACAATAGTTTCTTTCCAGATTACACATTGTTTCCGACAGGGAAGATAAATAAGGAAAATGATCGGAACAAAATGCATGCTATGCTAATTACTACCTTAGCAGAACCGGAACTTATTTTGCTAACAATATCAAGATGCCGCCCTCACCACTGTCAAATTTGAAATAGTTATATCTGATTATTAACAACCACCACATACGGAGAAGTTATTGCTAGGGTCGTAATCACCAAATTAAAGTCATCGGAAACGGATATAGTATCGTTTGAAAATAAAGTTTACACTTAAATACATTTACAAATGAATCCTCGTGTTTAGAATCAATATATATACATATATATCTCAATTCTAAACAAAGCTAACTATAGATTTTCAATAAGCTCCATAAGATTTCGAGGAATTCATTAAACATTACCTAGGTATACTAAGAACTAGGGAAAGCAATGTGATCAACTACATACATCCTCCATGCACTTTAAGTTATAATTTTAGCTTTCGAGGAAACAAGATACAAATTTGGCAATACAAAGTAAAACAGATTAGGTTAAGTTCACTAGAAATCAAACAAAAAACATTCTAACTCAATAAAAACAGGAATTTAAAGATCATACCAATTAAAAAAAAACAAAGAACACAAAGGCATGACAAATTGCAGAAAATACAAAGACCCGGTTTGCAGGGTGCTTCATTTAACACAAATTAATCAACTTTTCGGGACATGGGTTCTAAAAATGCATTAAAGGAACAATACCCATTGAATCAAAATGCAGAAATCAGCAGAAAAAAAAACGAAATATGAGTGCAATGCTATCAAAGTTTGATCATATTCAAAACACTCAAGCCTACCTAACAAATTAAACGAAAAGGCAACGATTAAGGAAAAATATAACTGCTGCAAAAAGAAAAACAAGGGGGAAGAAAGCCTTGAATCAAACCAAAAGGAAGACAACACATCTACCTTAGCTCATTTAAAACGCGGAGAAATAAAGAAAAATAAGAGCGAAAAGGCCGGTATCAAGAGCCAAGGAACTTCGCCTCCGACGAAGTAGTTTTATTTACCGTTTGACCTTTGAGCTTTTTTAATTTATAGTTTTCAGGGGAATATTACATGATGCCCCCCTAGCCTTTTGGATATTTATATGTTCCCCCCTGACATCAAGAAAATTATATAATGTTGCTGTTGCCTTTCTCTTTTGTGCGTGAGGCCAATGTTTTCCAAATTTGAGTGTCAAAAAAAAATTGATATTTCTTTCGATGATAAGAAAATGTTAACAAATTTTCATTTCATTTTGTGTCAAAATTAACTTGATTTCTGATATAATCGAGACTTAAAACTGATAAAGTTTGGACGAATGCACATTATATTCATACAGCCAATAATATTACAAGGCATGAACTTACAGATAAATTAGTAACCATTGGAGGGAAGCTCAAGGAATATGTTCACACTTACTCATATGCTGCAACAATGAATTAGCTTTTCTTTGAGCTCGGTTCGTCCCGGTTATGGTGATCTCTTTCAGTGGTTCGTAAACACCAAACTGAAGTGCAGCCAAAGCAAGAGCCGAATTATTCAACCCCAACTCCAAAAGAACCGATACGGCGCATTCCTTGTTTTTCGGAGTCCCGTTCCTGATGATTTCCACCAGAGTCTCGATGACCGACAGCCGGCCTATCTCGTTCCGTCCCTCGGGATGCGATGCAAGATGTAACAAGATCGAGAGTGCCTCGTCGATCATACCCAGAGTTTTATCGTCGAGTAAACGAAGCAAAGGGGGTATAATACCGGCTTTAATGGCTTTGGACTTGTTGGATTGATTTGAAGACAAGTTAAAGAGTGCAGTTGCAGCATCTTTTTTACCTCTGGTGGTACCGTGTTGTAGGAGGTTCACTAATGGTGGGATCCCATTGAAGTTTCCGACGAGAGTTTTGTTCTCGTCGAGCATCGATAAGCTAAACAAGGCTGCAGCCGAGTTTTCTCTTGCTTCATCGGTCCCGTTTTGCAGTATCTCAATAATGGCTGGAATGGCTCCTTCTCTGGCTATTAGCCTTTTGTTTGTCTCATCGATTGACAAGTTCAATAGTGCAGTGACAGTGTGTTCTTGGATCTTGGAGTCTGGATAGTACAATAACTGAACTAAACCCGGGATTCCTCCGTTGTTGGCAATGAGAATTCGGTTCTCTGGGTTTTCTTTTGACAGCATTCGGATCTTCACGACAGCATCTCGTCTCGCATTTGGCTGACTCGAAGATAGGTCTCGAACCAATGAAGAGATTTCTTCCATGAGTTCAGATGAACAGCTCTCACAAGATGCATAGCTATCCTTCTTTGGCAATTCGAAATTGTTCTTCTCACACCATTGCAGAATAAGGTTGCGTAGCGCGAAATTCGGTGCTAAAGACAAGTGATCCAAGGTTTGTCCGGTCTTCGGACATGTCCGATGATTCGAGTTTAACCACTTAGTAATGCTTTCCCTTTCATAAGTCTTCAAAAAGAGAATAAACATCTCAGTTTCAATCAAGCATACATTCAATACAGAGATTACTGTAAGATTACCTGTCCAGTTGCCACAATAACAGGATCTGTCATGATCTCTAATGCGATGGGGCAGAGAAATTCATTAGGTATTAATGAAGATTGACACCTCTGAAGAGTTCTCGTCGAAATCGGACCGTCAAGCGAAACAGTTTCATCGATCCCTGCAATTTGTTTAAACTTCCCCAGAAGATCAAAGATTCGCTTCATGGTGTCACTATGTCCACCTCTACGTTTCTCGAGTTTCCGGATAGCTGCAGTTTCGGCTTTCAAATCGGCAATCGTATGCAGTTCGAGCTTGTTAGCAAGTCTTTCAAATATAGCAATGTCTGCATTCCGATCCTCATTTTTCGAGAAAACGACCATCATATCCATTGCCAGTTCCATATCTTGTGTATCGGTTCGTCCCTTTGCTCTTTGAAGTTGCATTCTCATTAGTTCAACCTAAGGCCAAAGAACACTCTAAGCTAAAAACTGGGAATTTCGGATACTTTCACACGAAAATCAAATTATAATTTTGGTCCTTCTATTATATTCAAACTTCAAGATTTAGTCCTCGTGCTTTAATTTGCATAACAATAAGTTGATCCCTCTACTTTTATAATGTGATTAGTTAGTCCAAATGGTTAACAATGTCAGCCAAATAAGAAGTTAAAAGAAAAATTCAAGTCAACATTTTGTCTTGAATAGTTAAGTGTGTTACCTTTTTGGTTAACTAATGGGATCATAAAAGCAAAAGAATCAAATTATGCCAAATTAAAGTATAATGACTAAATCCCAAATTCAAGAAACGTCGAAGGACCAAAACCAAAATTTGACCTTTTGAAGAACTTATCTGTTTCAGAAACACTCGGCCGAACTGTTGTTCAAGACCTCAAGATGCTTCAAGAACAAAATCTAAGAACGTTTGTTAATCCAAGCTTAAAATGTTGGATTTCTAAAGCCAATTTATGAAATCAGATTGGAAATGAAAGGTGGAAAAAAAATTACTTGTTCTTTCACTTCAACTGAAACTCCAAGCTCATCATAACGTATGCCATCAAGGGCCTGGTTTAATTTGTCATAAACAGCGTGGAATCTGCTCATCACTGCTTCACTTTCCATTGCCTAATTTTGTCGAACACATAATCTGCAGTCAGTACACAAGACAGCAAAACAAAGCAAAGTGGGGAATTGAAAACCATGTGAATACCAGATATATCTTGCTTCCATGGTTACAGTTCTTCAACAACTTCTTGGCTCCAACCAATGCTTTCTTCAAACCAACCAGATAATTCGAACCCGAACCGGAGACATTTGATGGGTTACCAAGCTGATCCCTGATCTCCTCCAAGAGTGGAACCAAAAGCTTCAACCGCCTCGCCAACTTCAAGCAATCCTTCCTTTGAGTCTTCCTAAATCCATCATAAGATCCAACGGTCCGTATCACTTCAATCAACTCCCTAACCACCACTTCACTCTCTTCTCCGACTTCGGGCGAACCCGAAACCGCCGGAATCGTCTGCCTCTCCATCGGCGACCACCGAAAAGTTCAACTCTTGAAAAGATACCCGAAAATCCTTTCTATTCTTTCACTGAAAACAAACAAAAAAACGTAAAAAGGCAGAAGGAAATAATGGAGGGGGTCATCCACTGATGAATTTATTAATAAAATAAAGTATCTATGAACATGATGATTGATTTTTTTTATTTTTTAATAATTTGGCGGTTTCATACGGGCTGGTGTTATAATAACGGTTAGTTCGCGGGGTTTCCGGTTTACTGAGAGTGGAAAGGAGACAAACCGAAAGTAAAATTTGAAAAACTGTTATGCGCTTCACGCGGATTTTTTAGGGTAAATTACACATTAGTATCTAAATTATCAGTTTTAATCCGTTTTAGTATCTAAATTTTTAATTTTTTCAAAACTATGCCTAAACTTTAATTTTTGTTTCATTTTAATACACCTATTCAAAATTTAACGTAAAATTTTGAAAACAATTGAAAGCTTAGGTACTAAACACGTTAAATTTTTAATAGTGGGATACTAAACAAAAACTAAATATTAATTATGATTTTGAAAAAAATTAAAAGTTTAAATACTAAAACGGATCAAAACTGATCGTTTAAGTACTAAACACGCAATTTACCCCTTTTCTGACAAAACGACCCCGTTTCACATGCAATTCTTGTATCTATTTTGGTAAAATTAGTACCCACCCGTTTTTGCTTTTGTTTTTAGGTTAGGGGACATTAGGGATTTTTGTGTTTGATGCTGAAATATTTCTACTCTTTTTCTTCTTCCGAAAAAAATGAGCTTCGTTAAAAACTCTTTCTAAGGCCTATAAGGGGGAAAAAGTGTCTTATTACGAATAACCAACATTGTTGTTTACATCATGAACAATAAACTCGGAACAAATCGAATCAAAACAAAAGACCCGGATCAAAGAGCCTAGGAAGTTAAAGAATGAACAACTGAATTACAATTTGGGGGATAAAGCAAACATTGAACCCCATAGTCGGTTTATATCATGAAATAATAAAACTCGATTAATAATAAAAGAAATTAGTTAATTTCTCTAGAATTTACCACCTCATCTCTCATTGATCTATCAACGATCCCGATTTGATCTCAAAACCTAGTGTCCAATTTAATTTCATCTTCATAAAGACACAAGAAAACTTCAATCTAAATATTCTTGAATAAAAAGAAAATAATGAAATAAAAGTTGGTTTCAATGCAGAGGAATATGTGAAGGAATAGTAAGAATGTGATTCTTGTTGGTCAAGTGGAAGAGTCAATTAATGTTGCCAGCTCAAGTTGCCGGTTTGTTACTGCTTCCAGAATTGTTGAAAGGATGGATGAGAGGAGTTGGATTTTAGCCGGTTAAAGGAATCATTATTGTTCTTAGAGGTCACGGGTTCAAACACTAACACTGCAATAAGTTGAATTGAACATCATCATGCTGAAAGTATTTAGAACAGATACATACATTAGGCCTTTGGCCCCCATGCTTTTTCTTAATTATACCAAAATGTAGCAATTTCACTTTGCAACACTGCTCATGTTGTGGCCTTCCTTGTTCCAAAAAGTAGTTTGGGAACACATACATACAGAGAGCTTCGACCCAAGAATAACATGTGCAAGCCGACGACGCCTAAAAAGTCACGGTGTATCCCAGCTGAGAACTCGAAATTCCGGTCGAGGATACACAAATACGGACTCCAAAATGAGCTCGCAAAAGCTCCACCTTGTTCTTCGACAACAAACTATCCCTGAACTTTCCGATCCGTCACAAACGAACCTTTGAAATCCTACAGAACAAATCCGAATTTAAAGTCTTGTCAGAAGCAGCCAAGAATAATACACGGGCGGGACATCAAGGATAGGTTTTCAAACCTTGTCGATAAGTAGAGGGTAGCGCCGTGTTTCTGCAGAAAACATGGATCAATAAGGCCAGTAAATAACATGAATAATTATCATTTCAAGTGCCGTGCATATATATTCAGGGCAATAATACATTAGCAATTCACTGTTCAAAACTTTCTGGGCAATGATTATGGACATAGCCGAGCTCGGTTCGACCTTAAAACATTTAAAATGAGGACATCAACTCAAAAAAATGAGCAAAGATGTCCCAATCATGCAACTCAGTTCTTAATTGTATGAGATGGTCAAGCCCTAAATAAACATTATACAACATGACATCTATTACACTACATCTCTAGTTTCCACAAGTGCCTTGTATAAGCAACCAGCTCGGTTGATGATATTATACCAACATCGGTAAATTCGAAAGAAACCTGAGCTGAATTATGTAGAAACGAACAAGCTACCGATGGATGGGTGATTTCTCCCCAAATCTCTCACAAGTGTCTTAAGTTCATATAGTAATGATTATTCATCCGAGCTTTAATCCTTTGTAATCCATCTATTGCCCCTAATCTGATATCCACCATAGCTTGGATCACTGCTGCTTTCTCCTCCACTTTCCCCGCTGGTATGCCCTGATTTTGTCCGGGTATATCCTGATTTTCCACGATGTTTCTTTCCCCTTGCAACTGCACTATCACTAAAACTGTCATTTAAGAGGGGATCATCTATACCATGAATTACCCTCCGCGGAGATGCAGAATAACAACTATCATCCTTTGTCTTTCTCTTGTCTTTGCCATGCCTCTTTATGTTTTGAGAGATCTTATGCAGTTTCTCATTGAATTTGTTGATTCCCTTCTCAACGGGCTCAACTGCCTGGTTTACCGTAAATTTTACATCGTTTACAATCTGAACAGGCAAAAAGAGCAGATTCAGTAATAATAATAATAATAATAATAAAAGATTCTGATGTTAGGAAGATTTGACTTTATAGGCAGGAAGAGTAAAAATCAAAGGTTTATGAATTTCGAACATGGGGGAGACAATATGCATCATACTTTCAGGTTTTTTATTATATGGTGAAAACTAATTAGCAACTTAATGAATTCCATCCACCTCAAGGGATGCAACCACGGAGAACTTTTAGGGAGCTATTAATCTCCAATCATGCACTAAACTGCTCTATTGCTATAAAACTGAAGACTTACATATTCACCACCGCCAATGAATACATCCTTCATACTTTCTTTGATGGTAGTCATTCCACCTCTAGCCTCCTCTATGTCAGGTTGCGGCAGGCGTATTTTTGCCGGTCTCTCACTGTCCCTAACCTCATCAGGATCCAGAGGGGAATCAACAGATGCATAGTCTCCAAGGACTGAAACACTTCCGGGAATGCGATCTCCCATTAGTTCATAAGGTTTGGAAGGGAAAACATATAGATGAACGACAGAAGCAATGCCCATCTGCGCTGGAGGAATACCATGACATGTCAAACTTTCATACTTTATATCAGAAGAAGACTCGTAGAATTTACAAGTTTTTTGAATTTAGATGACAGAATTCCAGCTTACATACCATTAGGTAAATCGGTTGCCTAATTGCTACACATCCACATACCTATAGTAAATAAGACAACTACCAAGAAGAAATACATTGGTGATTCAAGACATCTACCTCTATACAAATGATGAAGTCTTGGACACTTGACTTAAGCTGCAAGCTTTCAGCAATTGGACTTCTGAACAAACCGAGAGAGTAAAAAAGGGCGATGGCCACACCTTGCCACCAAGTTAAAAACACAATGGATTTAAAAGTCAAAAACTTGGCCAATGGCTGTATGTGTGCCAGTTCATCCTTTGTGACAGTATAAAATTGAATTAAACAGTACAAAGCCCATGATTGACTGAAATTGAGAACCACAGCCATATAAGGATACCTGAAAATCAGGAACAAAGCCAAGAAAAGGGAAACTTCTTTAGATGGGTCATTTACAAAATCTTGTTTCACTAGTGAAATCATATCTTCTGATATTTGGAGTTTGTTGCTAAGCAGGTGAAGAACTAATAGAGGCATTAATATGAATCACAATTTCAAAACTAATTTCTTCGAACTTAGAGAAAGGCTTCCTACTGATAACCCAAAGAAAATCTTTACAATTATAAGTACCATTCTACATTAAGATCATCTTACCCACATCCCCATTTGAATTCTCCTTCACAGTATACACCAAAAGCTTCAAGAATTACTGCTAAAAGTGCAGTCAATAATTTAATTATCATCTGCCAACAAAGCATAAAACTGTGTTAAAATAGGAACCAATGACAGGCAAAATTTATAATTCATTAAAACAAGCTGAAGAGAACCTACATATTGGACAATGCCGAACTTGACAACTTGGTAAAACCATTGACCAAGTTTCCATGGTTTTAAGATATAATTCATAGGAAAAGGGTGCTTAACAGTTCCCTTTTCACAATCAAGTTCCAATAGTGGAGCTAAAGAACTTGCATACCCTAGTCTTTCCATGAATTGAATAGTCCTCTCTTCGCCACCTTAAAAGCAGAAATCGGAAGAAAGTTGTAATAAAGAAAATAAAATTTCTCAATATCAGCCATAAAAATAAATAGCAGCCAACTTTGAAAAATGAAAACCACTATAAAATATATAGAAGAGAAATGCAAAATGAAACATTTAATGAGGGTTGTCGAGCACAAAACCTAGTGTTGTACTCTGAAATTTTATAATGTATAATGGACCTTTGCAAACTGTACAAACCAGACGTGCATATGCAATGCAGAGGCTTTTACTTTCAGAATATTTTGAAAGAAATGGTTAGAATTTTAGGTCCATAATGTCAAATGGATGAAATCTAGCATGTATACAGTTTGGCAGAATAGTCCAATCTCATTTAGTACCTATTTGGTGAACTTCCATTTTACTTTGTGCATGCATGTCAGTATGATTTATATAAGTCATCAACAGATTAGATAATGGCAAACAAAAAGAAGATGCCATTATAGAAAGTGTAATGTAATGAAGGGAGGGAGATTCAGAATCAAGAGATGAGATATTTATTTGAACTTCAAGGCTCTTGAGGTAGACATACCTAAGCAAGCAACAAGGTATCTTCCAAAGCAATACATGGCAAATGATTCATAGCAATCACGTAGTATCGAACAATCAACACTAATTGATGGATTCACCAGTGATACAAACTGTTAAAGGAATGTGGGTTAGCAAGACGGACATTAAAAATATATTTCACAAGATATATCCTGCAAAAAAAAGGAACATGTAGAATACAGTGTGAAAGTTATACCTAAAATGCTAAAAGTTCCACAGACTCGAAGGCACGCTAAATTTAAATTTTATCTGAAGCCGAATATAAGGAAAATTCCATATGAACACATTAATTAGAATTAAATAAAAACAAACTACCACACCTTTAATGCAAGCCTATCAACAATATCAGACAACACCATTCAAGATTCATGACAAAGATTTTACATGATTTTGATATATAAATCAAGCAATTTAAACTTAAAGTTTCCAACACCAAATGTTTTACTTAAAATTTTCAAAAGTCAAGCATGGTATTTCATTTTAAGAAGTTTAACAACAGAAATTTCCCACGGCAAGCACCTTTAGAAGCAAAATTTTCCAGCATTTATCATAAACACTAATTTTCATCAAACTTAAAAATTAATGTCGAAGACCTGCAAGATCCGAACTACACAAAAAAATCGAGCTTTATGATTCAAAGCTTCCACCTAACTAAGAAAAAAGTCAAAGCCGATAAAAAAACTCACTGATTCTACGGAATAGCAAGGAACCATCAGAATAACTCCGATCAAAAACTTTTGCTCCTGTCAGTCCAAAACCGAAAAGAAAAGTCAACAAAAGCCTTAAACAAGCTAAAAATGACTAAAATCTCTAACCAAAAAAAAAAACTTACCTCAGGATTTTTGTAAGAAGCGAGGTGCTCGAAGATAAGATATACTGAAAGCGAAAGCGTTATGACTAAAATCACTCCGGCTATCGAAGTCGCCCAAAGAGGAGGCGAATAGCTCGATAAATAATCTGTAATCTTCATCAGCTGCTACTCTTTTCCTTTTACTTTGAAGATAATCAGCATAATTAGTTTTCCGCTTCCAAAGTTATTTTTCTTGAAAAAAATATCAAAATCAACCGAAGATCACCACCAATTCTTGTTTGATTCAAAAATTGAGGATTTTAAATTGGGGAAATTTTGAAGAAAACTAGCTTGGACTCGGAGTCAGAACGAAATGTTAAAGGCTCCGACACATACGCTGCCCGTTGATCTGTGTTTTTCATCCGTTAATGGGCTAGATTACTTTATTGCCCCTTTAGAAACAAGGATCTACGTCTAAGGTATCAAATTTTGTTATTAGTCCCTGTACTGTACCAGATATGTGGATTTGATTCTTATATTTTAATTTAGTTTCAATTTCAAAATTCCTGTCTTAACTACAAGAATAATATAATTAAATAAAAATGACTAAGGATATAAAACTAGAGAATAAAAATTATATCTAGAACTCAAGTGTAATACATTAAATAAATTAAATAATTCAACTTAACAAATTTTATGACTGATATTTACATAAAGATTAAATTTTAATTTACGTTTAGTTTAGGGACTGGTAATATAATTTAACCACCTTAAGGGAACCTTTAGTTATTGTAGTTGCGTGTAATTCTGAACATCCGTCTCCAGTCTCCACAAGTAATTTGGGATTCTATTAGAATATAATAAGTACATTGTGATCAAATTAATCAAATTATAATATTCAAATATCCTAAAATTTTATTAAAATATATTTTCTCCTAATTTTAACAAAATTTATAATATATATTTTTATTAAAATATAATTGCATCATAAGCGAAATTATTGTTTAAATTTTATTTGGTCCAAAGTTTTATATATTTTATTTAATTCATCCAACAACTATTTTGATTTTATTAATATTTTTTCTTGCGTATCATTTATTCGAGCATTTATTGTTATCTCAAATTTAATAATTTTTAAATGCATATGTATTAATTTTTAAAAATATATCTATATATATATATTACAAGAATAATTTAAATATATCATATTAAAAAGTAAAATAAGTCATTAATATAATATGGTTATTTCTTTTTTTTCTTCTTTTAAACATATCTTATATAGGGATGGACATGGGTCGGGTTTTTGGTCCACTCGACCCGACCCTAAACCCTAAACCCTACCCAACCCGAGAACAATGAGTCCTCCACTTGAGACTCGACCGACCAAAACAAGTTTTCACTCGACCTAAACCTGACCCGATATATAACTTAAAAACCCGACCTGACCCGACCCGAAATAATAAGAAAAATATTTTTATTCAATAAAAACAGTGACTTAATTGAAAAAAATAATATATAGAGGGGTATTATTGTAATTATTTCTAAATATATAAGGTAAAATTATATATTTTTCGGGTCGGGTCGGGTATTTTTCACCCTAAACCCGACCCGAACATCACATTAAAAAAAGACCCGAATATGATTTTTTTTTTAAAAACCCTACCTAATCGAGTTGGGTCGGGTCGAAACCCGTCGAGGTCGGATCTCATACCCATCCCTAATCTTATCTAAATTATTTATATATAACGCTTTAAATTTTTAATCTCAATATAACATATTATGATTTAGAAAAACGAAATATGATCTCAATAAAATCACATCAACTTAGGGGGCAACATACATGTATATTTTCCTTTCATTTAAATTAAATATATTTTTACTGATTTTCAACTGAAATAATGTTTGAATCTCAAGAACTTCGATGCATGTATATGTTTTTGAATGGAAAACAGGCTAAAAGCCAGTACAAAGATTAAGTTCTAATACAAGGAGGACCAAGAATGTCCCTCTGAAGAAAAGAGTCAATTCCCGGTGACGGATCTAAGAAGACTGTTGTGGAGGTATATGAGGAAGATGATAATTTGGCCATAAAGTCAACAGAAAAGTATATAAATGAGTCCCAGATTATAAGATTTTTCAGTCTATTGACTATTAAAAGTTATAAAATGGTCCCTTGACTATAAAGAGTTTTTTGTTGAGTCATTCGACTATTAAAAGTTACAAAATGATCACTCGATTATTCATTATATTCCAAACTCGTTTTTTTGGCAAAAAAAATTAACGGTTGAGTTAGACTTTAACATGTTGATTTAGATATGATTGTCGTTTGAGATTATGAGATTAAATTTTATCATATCTCAATTAGTAAGTTAACGTACAACTTAGACTATCGTCAAATTTTTAACAAAAAAGAATGAGTTTGGAACATATTGAATAGTCAAATGACTGTTTTATAACTTTTAATAGTCAAAGAACGCAACTAAACAATTCCCCATAGTCGAGTGATCATTGTATAAATTTTAATAATCAGATGATTTAATAAAACAATGTTCAATAGTCAAGGGACTATTAATGTACTTTACCCTAAATATAATTACAAAATTAAAATCATAAAACATGTTGTCATTTAATTTTAATTAAAAAAATTATTCGTTTAATATTATTATACAATAATATTTATTTAAAATATTTTTTAGTTAATCGATAATGAATACAGATATCTTACAAATACACACTTGTTTGAACTTAAAATAATTTTTTTAAAAATAATGTACTTTATACAGTTATTGTATGGTATAAATATATTTTAAAAATTAAAATGATGTATTTAATATTTAATTAAATCAATCTATTCGTTTGGCATGAAACGACATCGTTGCAAGTAGCAATATGATAGAACGGCTAGTGAAAGTATACGTGGCAATATTCACATCACATCCTTGGTTTTCCTTCTCTCTCTCTCTCAGCAGAGAAAAAGGAGCAGAGCAAAATCAATACACATTCACACAACCAGCAAAGTAAAACACAGCAATGGCGTTGGGACTCCCCACTCAGCTGGCGACACGTGGCACATTACACCACCACCACCACAACAACAACTCCAGAACCGCAACAACCACCGTGCTTTCATGGCGGTGGACTCTAACGCCGGACGCTCTACTAATCCCCTCCTCCTCCACCTCTCTAACCACCAGTAAGCACCTCGTGTTCTTCATTTTGCTTCAAATCAAACTATATTTCGTATTGATTTCTTCTTCTTTTTTCCTCCGGCAGAGAAATCGCATGTGCAACAAATGGTGACTTGCAGTGCTAGTGGAAGTGTTCAGGCTGTGAATTTGTCTCCGGGGACTCCCGTCAGGCCGACCAGCATACTAGTCGTTGGCTCCACTGGAACTCTCGGGAGACAAATCGTAAGACGCGCGCTCGACGAAGGGTACGACGTTAGATGCCTTGTTCGGCCGAGACCCGCTCCTGCCGACTTCCTCCGTGACTGGGGCGCCACTGTTGTCAACGTAGGATCTCGTTCTAATTATGCTTTTAATCCCTCTATTATTTTGAAATTATAAATTTAGTCCATGTACTTTAATCTCTCATAATTTAGTCTCTCCATTTTATAATCTATAACCCTATTAGGAGCTCCAAATTGATGACATTACTAGTTTCTGTTCAAGTAATCATGTGAAAATTTTCTGTTGTTTCTGAAAATTACAACGTATAGTAAATTCACATGTCAGTTGTCCAATGCTCTTCGAAAATTTATACTTCAATTTACCCAAATTTATTGCTTTCACCCTTTCTAAGACTTGCCCTTCATTGTATACTTTTGAACAGGCAGACCTTGGTAAACCAGAGACAATACCTGCAACATTGGTCGGTGTCCATACTGTTATCGATTGTGCCACGGGCCGTCCTGAAGAGCCTATCAAGACGGTATTGTTGAATAATTATGCTTAATCTTGCTGTGTTTTTTTTTTCTTTTGTTGTTGCTAAAATCTAAGGTTATCTAATTTTCATGTGTTGTGTTTAGGTAGATTGGGAAGGAAAAGTTGCTCTTATACAATGTGCAAAAGCAATGGGGATTCAGAAATATGTGTTCTTTTCCATTCACAATTGTGATAAGCATCCCGAAGTTCCACTAATGGAGATCAAGTATTGCACCGAAAAGTTCCTTCAGGACTCCGGCTTACCCCACATCACGATCCGGCTTTGCGGTTTCATGCAAGTAAATGTCATCTAAAACTCGATCTTTGCCGATAGTATGTATTTGTATGTGTATATATACATGTTTCCAAAATCATTAGCAAAAATGTTGCTAGTGAACATGATATCTTGGAAGAACCAGTATGATTGAGTTAATGTATGTGTTTGAAGTTTGAAAGTCGTTTGTTTTTCGTATTTAAGCTGTGTTGTTGTAAATGGTTGTTGCCAATTTGTCAGGGGCTTATCGGCCAATATGCAGTACCTATACTGGAAGAGAAGTCCGTATGGGGGACAGATGCTCCGACTAGAATTGCCTACATGGACACACAGGTTGCACATGCTTAAATTGTTTTTCGGATTGGTTTCGTGTATATATGGCATGATTGTTGCTATCAATCGTGGGATTTCTGTATTTATTCTGGTTTTCTTTTGGTTTTAGGATATTGCTCGGTTGACGTTTATAGCTTTGCGCAACGAGAAAGTTACCGGCAAGCTTCTCACGTTTGCTGGTCCTCGTGCTTGGACAACCCAAGAGGTATGTAAGCGTGTATTGTGGCTGCTCGTTCGCCACCGGTGACGATTCGGGCGATTATTCTCAAAGATAGTGCAGCTTTAGCTTTCATATCATTAATATCCTTGGGATATTGACTTATCATGTTAACATATTGCCATTCCTAAGAGCTCATATGGAACTCTCGGAAAAAGGAGCCACTGATTTATTGTGTGTTAAATTTTCCTATACTTAAGGTGATAGCATTATGCGAGAGGCTCGCAGGGCAAGATGCAAACGTTACCACGGTTCCGGTCACCATCTTAAGATTCACACGGCAGCTGACTCGGTTATTCGAGTGGACGAACGACGTCGCTGATCGGTTGGCATTTTCAGAGGTAAATAAGTGGTCTCTTCTCTAGTCTGCTCGGCATTATCCCGGTGTCAGATGGTTATACTTGTCATCATCGTTCTCTAGATCCTTTTCAAGGATACTAATGCCGTGCACATTGTCAGGTTCTCACGAGCGACACGGTTTTCTCGGCACCGATGACGGAGACGTACAATCTCCTCGGTGTCGACTCGAAGGATATAGTTACACTGGAGAAGTATCTGCAGGATTACTTCACCAACATTTTGAAGAAACTGAAAGACATCAAAGCTCAATCTAAACAAACCGACATCATATTTTGAAAGGAAAAAACCTACTTG